AGACAATAGAACGGTGAGTCTGATACTGTTGAGGTTATTAATAGAAGCTCACTTTAACACAGAGGACCTTGATAGCTGTGACTCAGTAAGTTAACCATCAGGACCAATGGCTGGATCAACGCTTTAGCTTAGAACAGCATGGTCTGTTTTCATTGTTTAGATGTAGCCACAAAAGTATCTTCTACGGACTGGTTTATCGATGAACAAAATATCTAATATTCTATATAGTTGTAGGCTAATCACAACTAGTGCAATGCAACATGGTTAAAATAAATATCAATAGTATTAAAGCTACAGAAATCAATCCGATTTTAGTCATAAGTGGCTGAGAATCGTTCATTTGGATGAGTAGATAGAAATTTGCCAGATAAATGATGTATGATGACATGACCATGATATGATTCTACTGAAATGCAATAATCAGTAATATATATATATATATATATATATATATATATTTTAAGGCTTGCCCTAAACACAGGTGGTTGCAGGCGAAAGACCAAAAAGGAGAGCAGCAATTTGTCTGAATGCCCTGAAGCATTTTTAGCCCATTTTGTTCTCTGGATGCTCAACAGCTCAGTTTTCTGCCTCGCCGTGTTTGTCTCTCCGACTTTCTGACTCACTCTCCTAAAAGAAGAGCAGTGGGAGGGAAATGGTACACGGTACATTTTATTACCTAATGCTCTCTGGGTAATCACAGAACTGGCTGGACCCTGCACTTCAGCCGGTTTTCAAAAGATTTCCCGTAGATTTAGACAAAGGACCAGAGAATGTGGACACTTGAAAACTAAAAAAAACTGTACATAATGATACCAGATGGTATAAGCGGTTTAGTTTCAAGTCCCATCAGTACCCTGATAATCCCAAATGGTACAAACGGGTAGTTCTGCCAATGATGAGGACTCGAGAGAATAAGAGTACGACGTACGGCCAGCAGAGAATAGATGTGAAATAACAGCACTCACACAACTCCAACAGTGGGAAAAGTTTCATAATTAGTGTTAGTGAGTTTACTGAAATCTAATGCTGACCGTGAGGCAGAGACTGCATGAAATGAAGTCAGTGTCCTACATTCATGTATCAGGGGGCACCCACCCACAGCTGAATAAATATGACTTTATAAAAAGATAATCGTCTTCTCTTCCTCTGTAACAAAGCCAATACCTGAGTTTTAACATTAACATTTTTTTTTTCTAGAAAATAAGTCACATTCTGTTTCCACTTTCTAAATGTGAGGATTTGCTGCTTTTCTTTGTCATATACGATAATAGACAGAATACATTTGGTCGGACCAACATTACATTTAAAGAGATCATGTTGGATCGCGGGAAATGTTCTGCTCCTGGTAGTAAAGTAGCATGATTGCCATTCACACTATACAAATAGCCTTTTTGCTCTCTTGATGCGTTTTGTAGAAGAGATTTCTATGTTCTATGCTAAACGTTCACACTCACGTCCAGGATTTTCCCAAAACCTTTCCCAGCCTCAGCAAGCTCCTAAAAAACAAACTCAACATTTAAATAAATGGTCCCCACGTATAATGACACACACACACACACACACACACACACACACACACACACACACACA